CCCCCCCCCCCCTGAGCGTGACGTAATTTGCGAACGACCCCTTCTTTCCAGTTTGTACGCAAAGCAAGTCTGCTGCAAAATGAGACCGTTACAGTTGCAATGGTCCATGCCATGATTTCCCAGGACTCCATCCAAAGCGATGTGACCACGGCCCACTTTGTCTTTACTTCTTCTGTGTTGGTCATTGTTGGAGAATAGCAGCTGATGATGATGAGATTTTTTCTTCCTAATAAGAGAGGGAAGGGGGGGGGGTTCATTTTTAGTATTCTATCGTTGACTCCTGTTAGAGATCCGACCAGCATGCTAATCAGTTTATATTTCATAGTAAAACGAACACCAGTCTCACGACGTGTTTCGCTTCCTCGGCCAATCCAAAAGAAAGTTTATCCAGATCCCCTATCCTTGAGTTCATCCTTTCCTGCAAGCCGGGCCTCGCTAAAGGCTGCAATATCTACCTTGTACCTGGCTACTTCATTTCCTATAAGGCAAGGGTCGGGAACCTAAGGCTCGCGAACCAGATGTGGCTCTATTGATGGCTGCGTCTGGCTCGCAGACAAATTTTCGATTATTAAAAAAGTCGCATTAGTGTTAAGAAATATTCATTATTGAAATTTATTGATTAGCAACAGCATAACAATGTTATTAAAAAGAATTCAGAGACATAATTATTGCATTTTAGTGTTGAAATTACACAAAATGCACACATTTACTTGAATTTTTAGTTTTAAACATAATGTATGGCTCTCACAGAATTAATTTTCAAAATATGTGGTTCCATGGCTCTCTCAGACAAAAAGGTTCCCGACCCCTGCTCTTCTCTACAGACTCACGTCCTTGTGCAGTTTTTGAGACGATTTGGGCGAATCCGGGTGTTACTAAAAATGAGTAATCTTCTCATTTTCTAAAATGTAGTTCAGCCCAAAGGGGATAAGTGAAAAGTGTCTGTATAGAACCAGGAGCGAACACGGAGGCAGAGGCGTAGCGTGGTGGGGGCAGGGGGGGACAGATGTCCCCGGGCGCCAGCTAGTTAGGGGCGCCAAAATGTGCTTTGATATTATTTTAGTGATGAAAATAATGGGTTTGAGAGTTGAAAAAAAGAAAAAGGGGCGCTAAAAATGGATCTTGTCCCCGGGCGCGAATCTTGTCCCCGGGCGCCAAACACCATCGCTACGCCACTGCACGGAGGCATTAAAGTTGAAGGCTTCAAAATATATAAAGCTTATTAATTTTAATATTGATTGATTGGATATTTATATAACCTAAAATAATCCTAAGCCATAGCCATAGAGGTTCTCAACATTTTTTGGTGCCGTGATCCCTATATAATATTTGCCAAATAGTGGCGACCAACAACCAGAATTTTACCTTGAAAATGAGAAAGAAACGTTGAGAAGGGATGGGGGCAGGGCCGCCATTCGCTCCCGGATATCTAATTAGACTCAAACAATTCGGATATCATTTTTGATAATTTATTTTAGTTAAACTGAAGAAGTAAGTTTACAAACATATAATATAGTCTATACTATAGTCAATTCAATTATCATTCATTTGATACCTCATTTTGTCTTACAAACCCATCAATAATATTTTAAATAGCTTTTTAATACCAACCTCTCACTTCTGGTACCTGGGTACGATTAGTCGCAGCCTACAGTAAAAGGTCAGAGTTTATTGTATGAAGGGGAACCACCATTTATGTAAACATCGGATCAATGGCCTCGGCAGGTGCTCTGCCATGCGTTTACTATTTCCTTGAAATGCGCGGATTAATACATTTATATTAAGGATAAAGTACGGCATGAAAACAACCCCTGTCAATAATTTCAGAACACTTAATTATTTTTTTTATTGTAAATAATAATATATTTGTTTGAATTTCATGTATTATATTAACAAAGTTATAGACTTTCCCGTTCTAGTTTACAAAGCGTTAAAAGTCGCAGGGCTTCTGACTGTTGAGTCGAGTGGGAACTTTCCTTGGCCAAGCGGTTGTCAGATGTGACGGCAGAAGCTCCGCCCATTCAAATGTGTTCTCCGTCTGGCTATCTTTACGGCATAGTGGGAAAACTCAGTTGTGTGTTCGTTAGCTGCCGTGTAACATGCTTGGATTAAACGACGAGATATTGATTCTGACTTGGATTATAATAAAATGTGACTAGAACATTCATTTTAAAAAGCCCTCGATGTGGTGGGTGTCTTCTTTTACCATTATTATTTTAATATTTTATCGAATGAAGATGATTGATACTGATAGTTAGGCCTGAAGTCCAGTGAAGTCTTAAGTGTTAAAGTTAAAGACTAAAGACAAAGATTAAAATTTAATTCATATATTGTCAATATTGATTATAAATTATTGTCACAACACCGCGAACCACTGAAGAAAAGCTTGTTGGTCTTGATGTTGAATGAAATGTCTGATATGTTAGCCACCTGATTTCACTAACTTTACTCATACATTACTGTACTTTCCTTGTGTATTCAACACCGCGAACCTTTCGTAAAGCTTGGCTTGGTCTTGATGAATGATGTTGAATCATGAAAAGTCGACTATTCGTCTCCTGATTCCTCACTAACTTTAAAGTTCACTCTTTCACTACTAGAAATTACTGTACTTTCCTGTCATACTGTCATAAAAATACTATTAATATAGTCATTTATATCTTTGTCTTTGAATTTATTATAAATTATTTTGGGCGAAAAATCGGCATTCGGCATTATTGCCATTATAACCATTTAACATTTTCTTCGTGACGTCTCTTACTTTATGATGAGACCTAAATTCAATGTGAGTTGAGTTGTGGTCATTTCACTTATTAAAACTAAAATTTACTTACTTGGCGTGGGAAAATTGAGGATTTTTACTTGTCTTACTTTACTTAACTACAGTTGAGTGTAGGCAGTGTAGCATAACACAACTTGACACAAGCCTTACATACCTACATTTACATTGCCTACAAATTGCACAAATCACAAATTAGAAATAATTTGTTGTAATACAAAATACTATATTGCCATCGTTTGTTTATCCATTTTATTATTTTAATAAATAGTAGGCCTAATTAGATATGCATAAGTTTAAAAGTTAAAAACCATACATTATGATACATTGACTTTAAGTTTAAGTAAAAACTTTGAGGCCCAATTATTATTTTCGAATGCCTATTATTTTTTGTAAATTCAGAATATTATGTAGCTGTAGCCTTAGTGCTCATTGGAGGCCTAGGTGAGGTCTAAATTCTAAGTATTATTATTATTATTAAGAACTTACCTACTAAACTTTTCAGTTGGTGAGGTTTTTTTCAATCAATAATCAGTGATTTTTCAATAATTAACAATCATTAGCGTAACTAACTAAACTTTACAGTTAACAGTGTTATTAATTAGGACATTTTTTATTGTTTTAAATTTACTTTAACATTAACAGGAATATTGACAATAATTGTCTTAGTATATATGGACCAATATGGTATTAGCCCAGGCCCAGATATGCTGAGAGTGGGGTTTAGGGACTACTATTCTAAAAAAAAACGGTATTAGTAGGTATATTGCCGCATATACCTATACTTTTATTTAATGTATGAGTATGAATGACTAAAAGGTATAAATTATTACAATACTATACTTAATTTTAACTATGGTAGGCATATGCACATAGTCTATACCACCCCTGCAAAACTTAAAAAATCGCTAATCAATATTTAGGATAAAGACTTGTTTTAATTTAAGTAAACAAGTACAATTTTAAAAACTGTTTATCTACTGGCTCTAGACTAATTTTTTTTAGGATATAAATATCATGACATGCATAAATCAAATAAACTATTGGCACAACACTTTGTTATACTAATTAAACAATAATTTAATGTGTGACAAATGATTTTTTAAATAAATTAAATTTTTTAGAGTGATCAGTAAAATGTTAGCAGATATTTTTATTATGCTATTGTTTTGTAAAAAAAATATATAAATATGATAACTTCTTCCTTTTTTCAAAATCTTGTTTAGATGCATCTGCTAGGAGAGACAGGAAATAATTCTAATGACAATTCCACTATGTCAACGCCTGCCATAGATATTCGACTCAGAAGGCAGGCACCTGTGACAGGCAAGCCACCTCCAAAACTACGTCTTACTTCAAGGGCATCAACATTGAAACAGCAACAACCTGGTCATCGTCAGCCACGCTCAAGCTCATGGCATCCTGACACTGCAACCTTCAGTTTGGCACCTGCAGCCACAAGTTCTCAAACACAGAGTACCTCTGATTTCGAAAATGGTAATAGAAATCGAGCTCATTCCTATAATGGAAATAATGTTGTTAGTAACGCTGTCAGTGGTAACAGTAGACTTTTGATTCATCACCAAAGACATAATCTAAAGAATAGATTTCAGTTGTTAAAGACACTAGGTGAAGGAACCTACGGAAAAGTAAAGCTTGCGCGTGATAAAGGAACAGGCGAGCATGTGAGTATTTTTTAACTGCCTCATATTTACACATCTTACAAAAAATTGACTTCCATGTTTAAAGTTAACTTTACAAAGTTTTAAACTGCTGATTTAGCTTGTTTAAGAACAACAAAAGAGAGTTTTCAGAATCTAAATCAGTATTTATTTTTTCTTTGAACTCTTTTCCACTTAAAATTTAAGGCTACCATTTCACCATTCTATTGTTTCTAAAGCTTGATTTTTAAAAAAATTATAAAGAGGTTAATTATTTAACATTATGCATGGATGAAAGCGGTTTCATAAAGTGAATCATTCACTATGTTAAAATTATATTCAGTTTGAATTAATTGTATGTCTCTGTGAGTTGTACCAACATGTTACAGTTATTGATTTTTCCCTTTAGGTTCTGTTGTTCTAAAAATAGCTTTCAAGGCTGATTTTTTTCATATGCCCAATAACACATTAGGGAAGCCATTATTATGGAATAAGCTTTCTCAAAAATATCTTCACACCTGTAACAGTAACCCTATAAAACCCCAAAGAGTTGTCAGTAGGTTAAAATAAGATTTTAAAATGAGCTTTATTGTTTATCCAACATATAAAGAGAACATTTTCAATTACAACAAAAAATTCTTCTATATTTTCAGATTAAGATATAAATAGTTTTTGGACTTTAGAATCACTGTGATATAGATTAGTATATAATATTTACCCCCAAGAAAAGTTTTTAGAAAAGCAAACATTAAAATGTTGCATGTCGAACTGGAACTAGAAATAAAAGTGTTGTATTGAACAGCTGCTGTCAGATCATGTTTCCATTTGTAAAGGAATGGTCCAGTGGTTTTATTGAGAAATTCAAAATCTCCCTTTTAACTAGTTGCTCTAATAGAGAATCATGTCAATTGTGCTTGGGGCACTGCAAGATAGGGAGGTCATGGCATTAGGTGCACTGTCAGATAGGTGGGTCATTGTGCTTGGTGCACTGTAAGATAGGGATGTCATGGTATTTGGTGCACTGTCAGATGGGGAGGCCATGGCATTTGTGGTGGACTGTTAGATAGGGAGGCCATGGCTTTTGGTGTACTGTTTGATAGTTGGATCATGGCATTTAGTTCACTGTTAGGTGGGTCCTGGCATTTGGTTCACTGTTATTTAGGTGGGTCTTGGCATTTAGTTCACTGTTATTTAGGTGGGTCTTGGCATTTAGTTCACTGTTATTTAGGTGGGTCTTGGCATTTAGTTCACTGTTAGTTAGGTGGGTCATGGCATTTAGTTCACTGTTATTTAGGTGGGTCTTGGCATTTAGTTCACTGTTATTTAGGTGGGTCTTGGCATTTAGTTCACTGTTATTTAGGTAGGTCTTGGCATTTAGTTCACTGTTATTTAGGTGGGTCTTGGCATTTAGTTCACTGTTATTTAGGTGGGTCTTGGCATTTGGTTCACTGTTATTTAGGTGGGTCTTGGCATGTAGTTCACTGTTATGTAGGTGGGTCTTGGCATTTAGTTCACTGTTAGTTAGGTGGGTCTTGGCATTTAGTTCACTGTTAGGTGGGTCTTGGCATTTAGTTCACTGTTAGTTAGGTGGGTCATGGCATTTAGTTCACTGTTAGTTAGGTGAGTCTTGGCATTTAGTTCACTGTTAGTTAGGTGGGTCTTGGCATTTAGTTCACTGTTAGTTAGGTAGGTCTTGGCATTTAGTTCACTGTTATTTAGGTGGGTCTTGGCATTTAGTTCACTGTTAGTTAGGTGGGTCTTGGCATTTAGTTCACTGTTAGTTAGGAGGGTCTTAGCATTTAGTTCACTGTTATTTAGGTGGGTCTTGGCATTTAGTTCACTGTTAGTTAGGTGGGTCTTGGCATTTAGTTCACTGTTAGTTAGGTGGGTCATGGCATTTAGTTCACTGTTAGTTAGGTGGGTCTTGGCATTTAGTTCACTGTTAGGTGGGTCTTGGCATTTAGTTCATTCCCTCACAAAGTGGCACTGGAAATCTGTGAAATTTCCTCATCAACACCAGGAACAGAAACATTGCAAATCCCATCTACATGCATAGGAGCCAAAATGATCAATAAATTGATCGTGGGCCCTTAAGATATAGAAGAAGAAGAAGAAGAAGTTCACTGTTAGTTAGGTGGGTCATGGCATTTAGTTCACTGTTAGTTAGGTGAGTCTTGGCATTTAGTTCACTGTTAGTTAGGTGGGTCTTGGCATTTAGTTCACTGTTATTTAGGTGGGTCTTGGCATTTAGTTCACTGTTAGTTAGGTGGGTCTTGGCATTTAGTTCACTGTTAGTTAGGAGGGTCTTGGCATTTAGTTCACTGTTATTTAGGTGGGTCTTGGCATTTAGTTCACTGTTAGTTAGGTGGGTCTTGGCATTTAGTTCACTGTTAGTTTGGTAGGTCTTGGCGTTCAGTGCACTGCTAGCAGTGTCATGTTTTGCTTGGTATTGAAGAAAGATGTTGTGCAGAGAACGTGTACAATTGCCTCCTGTCATATTGTAAAGAACTTAAATTAATATACTCACCATTTCTTGTTTTGCGATTCCTTTGACTTTAATGAGATTTTTTTTAAAGTTTATATATTTATATATTTATATATAGGTCTATATGTGGAAAATATGAGGGTTTACTTGAAGAGTTTAGTTTTCTACAACTATTTGCAGTTTTTAAAACATGTCAATGCTACCATATACCAATGAACTTACATGCAGTAGGATCTAAGAAACATATGGGTTTTCAATTCAATGAGCATTCTTACAATAGATGGGAATATGTGTCAGTGCTATTTATTGTGATTTGGGATAATAAAGAAACACAAACTTTATGTGTTTATATAGTTCATTTGAAGTATTAAGAAGAGATAATAATAGAGTACATTTTGTATAGGTATTACGATGTAGGCCCATGTTATTTCCTATCTCTCTCTCTCTATCTTTGGCTACGGTCAACAGTACATAAGTTTCTGTTTCTTTAATTTAATGTATATATAATACTAGGTCCTGTAATGCTCCAACTGTCTGTAGGTAAACAGTTCATTACTTTGGTATGTTAACCTTTAAAACTAGCGGCGCCTATTAAAGGGAAACCACTCAGCATGTCCCGATGCGTCATATTTCGCCAGTGGGACAAATGCTATTTATATTTATTGTCCCCTAGAAACAGAAGAATAATGAAGTCCCTGGAGAGTCTACTTTCGCTATTGACTTAGTTTGATTAACAAAATGCATAGCATTGGCGTGTTTTAAATTCCAATTTAGTATTGCCATATGTGCCATATGAGTAATTACTTTCCACTACGGTACCTAGCTCACATAATTTAATTTATCTAAACAAAGGCGCCCCCCCCCCTTTTTTTTTTGTACAACCCGTGCGATATAGTCGCTTTCATTGACTTCATTTTTAGACTATAGACATTATCAATATGTTGAATTTCATACACTATATTTATTCCTTGACATTACGCATGTTCTGATGTCATACTAGTTTCATTGGACAAAGCCCAGTGGCGTGAAACAAGGAAGGACTGAGCACCTGTGCTGGTGTCTGCGATTATCGCATTCCGAAAGTTACATGACGTCAAAATATGAATCATCTTTGTTCGATGACATTCCGAGAGATAAAAGCGCCACTGAAAGGCCAAGTTATAATGATAGCGGACATGACAGTGAGGAAACTTTATCTGCTATGTCTTAATTCACTTATCTCAAAGTCCTTATATCACGCGTTAAATGAAGAGCCTCTTCAAATTCTGTAAGTTTCTGCTGGAGATATTGCCATGACAGACAGGCATTTACAGTGATGAGAGCAGCTGCTGGTAAATGGGGAGGGGGGTGGGTTAGCGACCCGGGTAAAGTGGTTTATTTATAGGCTAACATGAGACTATACAGAAGACTCGTTATGAGTGTACTCCTATAAGGTAGTCAGAAGTAGAGTGATTCAAGCAGTGGTGTCGTGTTGCCTCCAGGCCCCTGTTCTCAAACCGCCACCGTGGAACTGACAGTGGACCCGATACGCTCCGAGAATATATTATGTTAATTTCAGGTTCACCCATTGTCAAATTATGAGTATAGTTCTATACGTCATTTACCCCGCGGTCACGTGGTGTGTAAGAAATGGTGGGCGTCACAAAGGAAATCTCCGACACGTTGTAGTTAACGGGACGATTGAAAGCGTAATGCATTTTGAGAATGTCGAGTTTTGTGTGGAGACATACGAGACATAAATGTGTACACTGAAGCAACCATTTGTATGTCAGCGTAATTATGGTGCACTGTTCGTGTGAAGTAAGTGTGATTTGAACTCACGAAACACAGGCTGTGTCTGTGTGAGAGACCTTGGGCCATTATGCTAATAATGTGATTTGGTCTTTGATGGTCGGGGCAAATGTGAATGGGAGGTAATTTATGTGTCAGGTCTGGCGCACAGATGGCGAGTTCACAGACAATACCCCATATTGCCTATCGCCAATGCCCCCTATGTTTGTTTTTTTAAACTTACTCTCTAAATCTGCTTGTATAAGATTAGTTTTTGCTCAAAGCTCCCGAACAATGAATACAATTTCATCTCTTGTATTGTGTGTGTACGGGGGAAACATTCGATACTCGCCATTTGTCCTTTTCCGAAGGAAGAACCTCTACGGGATGCTGCGATTATAGACTTTAAAATAATCCAAAAAATCCTTGTCTAGACCAAAATCAGATACAGCAATAGGAAGTTAACCAAAACTTTCATGTTTTCTGATGCTGTTGTAAAGTAGCCAATCTCATAGGATTGACAATGTTGTCTGATGCTGTTGTAAACTAGCCAATCTCATAGGATTGACAATGTTGTCTGATGCTGTTGTAAACTAGCCAATCTCATAGGATTGACAATGTTGTCTGATGCTGTTGTAAACTAGCCAATCTCATAGGATTGACAATGTTGTCTGATGCTGTTGTAAACTAGCCAATCTCATAGGATTGACAATGTTGTCTGATGCTGTTGTAAACTAGCCAATCTCATAGGATTGACAATGTTGTCTGATGCTGTTGTAAACTAGCCAATCTCATAGGATTGACAATGTTGTCTGATGCTGTTGTAAACTAGCCAATCTCATAGGATTGACAATGTTGTCTGATGCTGTTGTAAACTAGCCAATCTCATAGGATTGACAATGTTGTCTGATGCTGTTGTAAACTAGCCAATCTCATAGGATTGACAATGTTGTCTGATGCTGTTGTAAACTAGCCAATCTCATAGGATTGACAATGTTGTCTGATGCTGTTGTAAACTAGCCAATCTCATAGGATTGACAATGTTGTCTGATGCTGTTGTAAACTAGCCAATCTCATAGGATTGACAATGTTGTCTGATGCTGTTGTAAACTAGCCAATCTCATAGGATTGACAATGTTGTCTGATGCTGTTGTAAACTAGCCAATCTCATAGGATTGACAATGTTGTCTGATGCTGTTGTAAACTAGCCAATCTCATAGGATTGACAATGTTGTCTGATGCTGTTGTAAACTAGCCAATCTCATAGGATTGACAATGTTGTCTGATGCTGTTGTAAACTAGCCAATCTCATAGGATTGACAATGTTGTCTGATGCTGTTGTAAACTAGCCAATCTCATAGGATTGACAATGTTGTCTGATGCTGTTGTAAACTAGCCAATCTCATAGGATTGACAATGTTGTCTGATGCTGTTGTAAACTAGCCAATCTCATAGGATTGACAATGTTGTCTGATGCTGTTGTAAACTAGCCAATCTCATAGGATTGACAATGTTGTCTGATGCTGTTGTAAACTAGCCAATCTCATAGGATTGACAATGTTGTCTGATGCTGTTGTAAACTAGCCAATCTCATAGGATTGACAATGTTGTCTGATGCTGTTGTAAACTAGCCAATCTCATAGGATTGACAATGTTGTCTGATGCTGTTGTAAACTAGCCAATCTCATAGGATTGACAATGTTGTGTGATGCTGTTGTAAACTAGCCAATCTCATAGGATTGACAATGTTGTCTGATGCTGTTGTAAACTAGCCAATCTCATAGGATTGACAATGTTGTCTGATGCTGTTGTAAAGTAGCCAATCTCATAGGATTGACAATGTTGTCTGATGCTGTTGTAAACTAGCCAATCTCATAGGATTGACAATGTTGTCTGATGCTGTTGTAAACTAGCCAATCTCATAGGATTGACAATGTTGTCTGATGCTGTTGTAAACTAGCCAATCTCATAGGATTGACAATGTTGTCTGATGCTGTTGTAAACTAGCCAATCTCATAGGATTGACAATGTTGTCTGATGCTGTTGTAAACTAGCCAATCTCATAGGATTGACAATGTTGTCTGATGCTGTTGTAAACTAGCCAATCTCATAGGATTGACAATGTTGTCTGATGCTGTTGTAAACTAGCCAATCTCATAGGATTGACAATGTTGTCTGATGCTGTTGTAAACTAGCCAATCTCATAGGATTGACAATGTTGTCTGATGCTGTTGTAAACTAGCCAATCTCATAGGATTGACAATGTTGTCTGATGCTGTTGTAAACTAGCCAATCTCATAGGATTGACAATGTTGTCTGATGCTGTTGTAAACTAGCCAATCTCATAGGATTGACAATGTTGTCTGATGCTGTTGTAAACTAGCCAATCTCATAGGATTGACAATGTTGTCTGATGCTGTTGTAAACTAGCCAATCTCATAGGATTGACAATGTTGTCTGATGCTGTTGTAAACTAGCCAATCTCATAGGATTGACAATGTTGTCTGATGCTGTTGTAAACTAGCCAATCTCATAGGATTGACAATGTTGTCTGATGCTGTTGTAAACTAGCCAATCTCATAGGATTGACAATGTTGTCTGATGCTGTTGTAAACTAGCCAATCTCATAGGATTGACAATGTTGTCTGATGCTGTTGTAAACTAGCCAATCTCATAGGATTGACAATGTTGTCTGATGCTGTTGTAAACTAGCCAATCTCATAGGATTGACAATGTTGTCTGATGCTGTTGTAAACTAGCCAATCTCATAGGATTGACAATGTTGTCTGATGCTGTTGTAAACTAGCCAATCTCATAGGATTGACAATGTTGTCTGATGCTGTTGTAAACTAGCTAATCTCATAGGATTGAATACATTTAAATCTTGGTTATAACGGCGGTGCTGAGACACCACTTATCGTTTAGTTATAACGGCGGTGCTGAGACACCACTTATCGTCCTCAGTAGTAGAACCCACGTGTAATTTTGGGATGCAGCCTCAACTTGAACCTTCCGCTCAGTGGCGTATACCTTGATAAAATGCTGCTTTGGACCAACTAACTCTCTAACGTGCGCCCCAAAACACATACACACCATTTATATATATATATATAGAAAGTGTCGGCCTCTTGGCAGTACTTTAGGATGGCCACCTCTTCCTCCTCGGATCACACTCTCCGTTTCGGCCTCCTGTTCTTAATGAATGTTAAATGATTCACTTGGTTGATGGTTGACTTGTCCTGAAATAGGATTTGGCCAAGGGAAAGAAAATGCCGACGAGTCTATTGTGGATCCATGGCACTAAATCTTTGATGTAGCGTTGTAATGGGGTTTGTGGGGTGAGCACGGGATGACGTTTGTTTATTCCCGTGTACTTGACTTTAGTGAGCGTTCACGTGGAAAAGCATTTTTTATACATTTCACTTTTTAGATAAAGTAGCAACCGTAAACTGTATGGAAATTTCTGATGGAAATATGTGCTTTGCTCAGCATGACATGTGGTCATAAAGATATTTATACCGATACAGCGAGACTTTTATAACGTTGCCCGAATGTATTCCACCCAGGAGGATGGCGTGGCGAGGGAAATGGGCTTCATGTGTATAGGTCTACGTTAAGTAACTGTTGAGAACATTAATGCTTCATACGTGATTCGCAAAACTTATGAATAGAAAAAATGACAAGAATGTTGCACGTGTTGCGTCATTTCGACTGCAATAATGGCGCAGAGGACTGTACATGGGCGTAGCCAAGGGGCGCAGATGTCCCCGGGTGTCAGGTTTTTTTTTAGTATCGAGTTGGTGGGAGCGTAAACTCCTAGGGTACACTCTAGCTACGCCTCTGTAACTGTACCCCACTTTAAAGATAGAAAAAGTGTAGTAAGACGCCCACTCTGTTGATATAACCTGGTATAAGAGCATTCCGTCACGATATAATTAAACTAAAAGCACAGATCGATGAAACAGTTGTCTAGAGTTAGTGCCCCCAGGGCGGGACAAACATTTTTACCGCTCCCTTTCCAGGAAAAAAAAAACTTTGCAGTTGGCTGAAATTGTCGCCCCATATAAAGAAAGAAGTAGCACCCTGGGTGGACCTCAGTACTCCCTTCATACACAACTATTAGGAAGATTCTGCCCTGTCAGTTAAGCTAGAGGCCCACGTTTGTCACTACAAGAATGAGTCACACTGTGTCGCCTTCCTGTAGTCGTCAGCTTGGCCTGCTTCCCCGTAAATTATTGCTAGATCATTTCTAAATGTAACTCATTACCTCAAGAAAGATTCTAGTGCGGAAATGATGCAATCCCCCTTAACATTTTTTAAAAAAATATTGAATTAAACTATTTATAGATTTTAATTTCTCTCTCATGACCATCACATTACAACGCTGTAGTATTCTGACCAATTACTTGCAACTGTAATATTTAGGATTCAACGTGGGTTTTAAAATAATGACTACATTGAGAAGCTCTTTTTAAAGGAAAGTGTGTATGTCTGTGTGTGTGTGAAAAAGGGGGGGGGTGGTGGAGTAAGCTGGTCTCTGTGGCGTATTTGTTCATAGAAATGGTCGCTCTCAAATAATTATACGCACACAGCAGTAACCGTACACCACAATTCATTAGATGGATACAAAAGTTCAATAAGTGATGAGGCCATCAGACACCAAAAACAAGGCCGGAAAAATTCCCCTATGATTTGACACCACAATGGTATGAAGAAAAAAAGGGTTGTGAAACAATGGCCGTGTAGTGTCCACCACACGTTGTACCACTACTACCAGTTGTTTCCCTTTGTTGACGTCGTCTCCCCCAAACAAAGGTTTCTTTTATTTCTGTGTATGAGGCAACAGCGCCCCGACAGCGCTCCGACGTCAGCCAAGCGTGACTAAAAATGTCACCGACTCTTCACTTACCTGCGTATTTGAATTCAAACCTAAAAAAAAAAAAAGGCCGCCCAAATCTTTCGTTTCCGTTGTGACCAAAAATAGCCGCTGTCAGTATCTCAAGGGATTAGAATCCACCTGTGGTCCCACGCTCATTATTATAATAGGTGTAAGTAGTATTTGCTCTACAAACAGGTTGTGGCATCGGAATGGGCTTTTTTTTTTTTTTTAATTTTCGACTAAGGCTCTTCGACTCCAGACTCCCGTATGTCAACTCCTCCACGTCTTCTTGGATTAATTACATTCGTCAGTTCTTTCATACGTTCGTCTTCTTGGATTGATTACATTCGTCAGTTCTTTCATACGTTGAAGCGTCGTACTATTCTCACTATCAATTAACAAACTCAACTCCTTTTCATAATAACTATAACTTTAATATCTAAGTAAATATATTAAACATCCTATCACTCCAAGGTTCCACTCAAGACTGCTGCACTACTAAAACATACGTCACAACACGGCATAGACAATACGTCACGACTCAGCATAAAAATACGTCATAAAGACAATGGCGGGAAGAGCGTTCACTAACTATAATAGTCAAGCGCGGGAAAAGCGTTCAACAACTAATGAACATAATATTGAGTCGCAACAATTCCTAATGAACGCTCATACTCGACACCGTAGGTTCATTTGTCTTGTGTAAAAAGCAACTACACGTAGGAATGTCGTCATTGTGAGTTTGTGCTCCATGTTTTATCCGTAGTCAAAGCTATTGACGCGACTACGACATTGGTCAACAGGATTCGATCCCAATTCGCCTATCGTGATATTAGCCGCCCTATCTACGGGACTTCCAACAGCTGTGGAATGTTATTGGCAATTTACAGCGGGTGTACTCGAGAATGACGTTTACAAGTACGGACCTCAAATCTTCCTGCCTACATTCTTCTCATAGGTTGTCCTCCGGCTCGGAGAATCATGATATGTTTGGACACTTAGTAGTGGTGGGGCTGGAATGGCGGTCCCGAAGGCTTACATGGTGATTGTGGATTAGATTATGTGAGGCCCACGACTCTAGTTAAATGTTGAAAGTGGAGCGTCTCGTTGTGACGTGTTGTTCTTGTAGACGAATTGCTTGTTATGTTTGCTCTGTAAGGTCGGGAATAACCAAGTGGAGCATTCATTAACTCTGGCGTCTAGTTACCACTGTTTGGGGTAACAATGATGAATAGGAACGAGTATGGCGCTAGGACAGTTTGGTGCTAGGACAGTATGGCGTTAGCATGGCACCAGGATAGTGTCCTTTGATGGATCCACATATCCAGTTTTGAGTATAAAATTGTCTAAATATTTGTTGTTGCTGCTGCTACGAATTTTTAGATGAAAAAAAAAAAGCTACATTCGATCTAACATAATTAGTTGAGTTGATGTTAGTTTAGACACGGTAATAACTGTGTATAAGAATTTAACATAGGCACTGGCCAAAGTCTCAACTCATCCTATCCACCAAATGGTGTTGATGGCCGCCAGCAGACCACGAGGCACTGGCCAAAGTCTCAACTCATCCTATCCACCAAATGGTGTTGATGGCCGCCAGCAGACCACGAGGTGCTCATCAGGCGGTGCTTCCCTAAACTTAAATGGAAAAACAACAGCTGCACTCCATCTTCTCAGCTGATTGGACGCTGATTCAATTGTCGTTTACTGTTCCAGGGTTCATCACTCCACGCTGATAGCGGTCCCCCCCCCCCCTTTTTTTTTTTCTCATCAACGGAAGCTTTTCACAGGGAGGCACTTTCCTTGACCTTAAATTATATTATAGAATTATTTTTTTTTAATTTCCCCGAATTTAGAATACAAAGTATATTTTTATGTACGCGCAAGATATAATTACATGTACATTCAAAATACGCCTTTAATTAGTTCTCATGGATGCAACAAATAAATAAATAATTTAATGAAATTACTCAAGTAAAGTTGAATTGTCCCCAAGTACAAATGTATTATTGACGTGCACCCCTCGTATTTGAAATGCATTCCTATGAAACTTATGTGTCAATAAACCAACTATTCTATATATTTTGTCACCTTCAGTAGACTGCCAAGTTAACCAGTCCAATTGTATTGATGTATTTTGTCACCTTCAGTAGACTGCCAAGTTAACCAGTCCAATTGTATTGATGTATTTTGTCACCTTCAGTAGACTGCCAAGTTAACCAGTCCAATTGTATTGATGTATTTTGTCACCTTCAGTAGATTGACAAGTAAAACAGTGCAATTGTATTGGTGTATTTTGTCACCTTCAGTAGACTGCCAAGTTAACCAGTCCAATTGTATTGATGTATTTTGTCACCTTCAGTAGACTGCCAAGTTAAACAGTCCAATTGTAATGATGTATTTTGTCACCTTCAGTAGCCTGCCAAGTTAAACAGTCCAATTGTATTGATGTATTTTGTCACCTTCAGTAGACTGCCAAGTTAAACAGTCCAATTGTATTGATGTATTTAGTAGACTGGCCCAATCGTATTGATGTATTTTGGCACCTTTACCAGAGGATCATGTCTGACACCCAAACATTTCAGAATTAATCCCGTTGAAAAAAAAAGACGCGGTTGATACAGTGCCTGAGCTAATATCATTGGGTCAGTAGTGGTCAGCAGGTTGTAACTAGTTCACCTTATATATAGACTTGCGTTACCTTCCTAACATCAGCACCGTAAAAAAGAAAAGTGTTACGTAAATTTAGCCTGAGGATAGGATTAATTATATCCTTAGTCAACTCGACGTAACTCTTAATTCGGTCAGTGGGTTGCCTCCCCCACCCCCCACTCATCTTATATTTCAAATGCATGAGATCGTCTCGATTACCACTAGACTTAGCTAATCTATAAAACTGTCAAAACACCGATGTATCATTATTGATTGATGGACAGACACCGAGACGATCATCCTCATCAAAAAAAGAAAGGGCAAAAAAAGCCACTAACGACCCCTATTGCACAAACAGGCCCGCTGATTTTGGTTATTGAAAAGCTGATCTGGTCAGTGTTAAACAGCCGATACAACACCCTACTCCCCGAGTGCTAGCTGATACAACACCCTGCCCTACCCCCTGAGTGCTAGCTGATACAACATCCTACACCCCGAGTGCTCAACTTCAACAAAACTGGTTTCCCAAATAAAGTGTTTTAATTGTCAAGTATAACTGTAACATTAGACCAGTGTCACCATGGCGACCGCGTCAGCCCACAAGCTCCCTGCACCATTAATCCCAGACTACGGCCACAGAAAGCTGTTTTCTCCCCACTGGCCGGCCCCCTTTGAACCTGGTGGTCAGTTTGTTTAGGCACGACTTTAATCTGAGGCTGGGTCCCCCGAGGGAGGAACTCGGTCGTGTATTCGTCTACTGTCTTTGGCTGCTTTGTGGCCTTCTCTGGTGGCGCACATGTTTGCCGCAGTTTGGCTTTGGATGGTTTTAGCTGGAGAGTAGGGGCTCTGTGGTGTCTTGGACTTGTTTGAGCCACATGCTCATGACATGTGAGGTACTGAAGGTTTTGTCGGTGGTCCCCTTGGCTCTGTGGTGTCTTGAACGTGTTTGAGCCACACAATCCATGACTTGTGAGGTACTGAAGGTTTGTCAGTGGTCCCCTTGGCTATGTGGTGTCTTGGACTTGTTTGAGCCAAGTGTTTTTTGGGGGGCCCCACACCGTGAGGATGGCTGTTACAAAGGGATTAAACGCTTGACTTTAAGTTTCGCGATGTAAATAAATATTATTGATTCAGAAATAACAGCCGCATAACTGAAACCCAATTTATTTTGAGTGACCGGTTCATTTTGTTTAACAAGGTTAGGCAATAACTGAAATATACAAATATTAGAAAATAATTTTACATTGACATTTAACGTGTAATGTTTCAACAACAAACTATTTGAGGATTCGAGTTACACCAACTAAAACATGTGGCTGTTGAGCCGTCCTGTAAGAAGAAGAAATCAACCTAAACTGAAAGTATGAATGACAATAATCTACATAGATCTAATCTGTGGTTGCTAACTAATCAAATCTCTCATGATATTCTTTGCATCGGAGCCCATTTTTTTTTTCTAGATTAGATCAGATTAGTTACTTAGAATTACTAAGATTAGTCCTAATGTCTTTAAGGTTTTTCGTTGTTGAATTGCATCTATTGAAGGTGCACTTTCCTTGTTTTACATCTAATGAAGGTGCACTTTCGTTTTTTTACATCTAATTAAGGTGCACTTTCCTTGTTTTGCATCTTAGGAAGGTGCACTTTCCTTGTTTTGTTTCTAATGAAGTTAAAACGTTGTTGTTTTGTTTTAGTCCCAGCTTAACATATCGTGTGCTTCATGGAACATTTGTCCATTGATCATACTACAACCCAGCTCATGCTAGTGGTCAGGTGTGTTTGGTCATCGATGTCCTATCATTGGAGCTTTTTTTTTTCATTTGTTTGGGGGTGGGGGGGGGTCGTCCCCACCGTCTGTTCCAATATTTGTTGAGGAGACAAACTTGTGGACCAAGAACGCAGCTCTTCAGTACTTCTAGTCCTTTGGTCTATGACCTGTTAAGCAGAGCGTGCAGTTTGAGGCGATACCATCTGTAACTCATTCCACCAGCAATGTTATGTAACCGTGCAGGCCGCCATTGCGCCGTACGTCCCATGATTTACATAGTTTACCCAGCCGCCCCTTCTGTGCCACATCTGGCCTAGCTAGAAACAATGTTTTATGAGGCTTTGTCGTCGCACAGATATGACAAGAGTCGGCTATGACATTTTTTCGTAGTACAGATATTATCAGAGTCGACCATGACATTGTTTATTGGTACAAATATTAACAGAGTCGGCTGTGCCATTGTTCACATCAATACATTTGTTTATGGGAGATGTATGGATTGTGTAACCTGTCAAAGATTGGCTTACTTGTGTTCTCTTTACGCACATGGGGCTGGTTAGAGGAGGAGGAGTTGATCGTCAAGGAATCAACCCGCTATCACTTTTGTTTGATGAAAGTTGATTTAACAATAAAATGTTGCCATATTTTGTTTTTCCTGATTTTGAAAGATTTAATCATTTTACCGGATTTTTTCCTGTTGTATACGTCATAAAATAATGTGAATTTCGATATAATTCTGTCAGCGATTTAAAATCCAGGATATAAAGTTGTAAAATTGACATAAAACTTATGGTTACATTTTGTCTTCCCCCCGTCCCTAAAAAAAAGAAAACATTTTTTAAAGATTTATTTATTTTTTTTTTTTTAATGCCAGAACCATTGGTCCTATATAATAACTAGTGGTTTTTTGTTTTTTTGTTTGTTTTTTTTTAGCTAATTAATCAGATTACTTACAATACCATCATTTCCTCCCATTTATTTTCTAAAAGTCCGCTTAAACTATTTGCAATAAATCCTAATTTCCGAGCTCTACGCATATGCTGTCTGATGCGTTTAAAGACTCCATCACGGGCTGGCCAATCCGGTTTCGTACTGATGGATCAGTATTTAACCTTAGGAGGCTTCAAGCTAAAACCAAGGTCAAACATACCACGATCAACGAGCTTCTGTTTGCAGACGATTGTGCCCTCAGCCATCAACGCTCCCTCAAAAGCCGTCACGCAACACAGGGTTGATATCTTCTCTGAGGCCTGCAATAACTTTGGGCTCACAATGAACACAAAGAAGACTGAGGTGATGTATCAGCCAGCTCCCAGTAACCCCTACGTTGAACCCAACATCATCATTAGTGGGCAGCACCCTCTCTAGATCTGTCGTCATGGATGATGAAATGAATGGCAGACTCGCAAAAGCTAGTGCCCTATTTGGCAGGCTCCGCAGCACTGTTTGGGACAGGAGAGGTATCAGACGAGAAACAAAGCTCAAGGTCTATAGCGCAACAGTCCTCTATGCTCTATGGATGTGAAACGTCGACAGTCTACCAGCGTCATGCCAAGAAACTGAATTATTTTCACACTACCTGCCTCAGGAAACTCCTCGACATCAGGTGGCAAGACAAAGTCCCCGACACCGAGGTCCTCGCTAGCGCGAACCTACCTAGTATCTTCACCACTCTGATGCAGTCTCAGCTCCGTTGGATGGGACGCGTAGCCCGTATGGCAGATCACCGGCTCCCGAAACAATTACTCTTCGGAGAACTCACGTTAGGCAAGCGCTCACAAAGAGGTAAAAAAAAAAGCGTTACAAAGACTCACTGAAAGTGGCACTAAAGGCCTTCAGCATAAACCCTATACTCAATGGGTGCAGACAGCCCAGGACAGAGCCAGGTGGAGAGCTGCTGTCAAGAAGGGGGCTAAATCCCATGAAGCTAATAGAATAACCGCAATTGAGACACGCAGGCTTGTCCGAAAGAGCAACATTAGGTCACCGTCTGAAGCAACTATTCCATGCCCACGGTGTCATAGATTATTCCGAGCAAGGATCGGTCTAGCAAGCCACCTACGAGCTCACCGTAATCCCAACCTCCCCCTAACCGGATGATTCGATGGTCCTAGTCGACTTCGACGGACGAACAACAATATATATATATTTATATATATATATATATATATATTATAAGAAACTTTATAAAATATACATTCACTAATAATAATAGTCCTACTAACGTTGCTGAAAATGTACGCACGCTTGGTGAGACCGAGATTTCAGGGATCACTATTTCTTTCTTTTGAAATGTGAAGTTACGCATCAGTGAGAATGCACCTATGTTTAGCAAGTCACACATAATATTCATGGGACCGGGTAAACGCACAGCAAAGTCGCGTAAACGTTTGAATTCACCACCACTACGAGTCTGACAGCACAGAATGGAAAATATTCACTGCGCCGTTTCTGTGTTTGTATGAAGAGAACTGAAGGCACTTCCTGGGTCAATACAACTCTTAGTTTAATATGCTGAAATAACTATTTGTGGACCCGTGTACACACGTCCTGGGGGTAATACGCTTACTTAACTGTATGGCCCTGTATTCTAAACTCCTGGGGGTAATATGCTTACATAACTGTATGGCCCTGTATACTAAACTCCTGGGGGTAATATGCTTACATAACTGTATGGATCTGTTTACTCATCTCTTGGGGTAATATGCTTAATACATAAATATATGGGCCTGTTTGTACAACTCCTGGGGGTAATATGCTTACATAACTGTATGGATCTGTTTACTCATCTCTTGGGGTAATATGCTTAATACATAAATATATGGGCCTGTTTGTACACCTCCTGGGGGTAATATGCTTAATACATAAATATATGGGCCTGTTTGTACACCTCCTGGGGGTAATATGCTTAATACATAAATATATGGGCCTGTTTGTACACCTCCTGGGGGTAATACGCGTACATAACTATAAGGACCTGTGTGAACAACTCCTGGGTGTAATATGCTTACTTAAGTATATGGGTCTGTGTGTAAAACTCCTGGGAGTAATTAACTAAATAATTAAATGGGCATGTGTAGACATCTCCTCGGGATAATGTGCTTATATAACTATATGGACATGTGATCACAACACATGGGAGATACTATGGTTACATGACTATCTTGTAATATTGGTATTTGTCTGTATGGATCTATGTACACTTACCGGATGCAGTTCTTGTGAACAAATCCCGGTTTGTTTAAATAGTACACCCGTCAAGTAGTATGGCTGTTGTGATAAATTGGATATATTAGATTGCACAAAAACTCCTTCCGTAATTTACTGGGAAAGAGTGTAAAGAATACTAAAAGGGACACAATTGCATATTCTGAAAATGCAAGGCTGTTCCAAATGTTGTTGTTCTTCTTAATGTTAATTTATCAGTGTTCAAGAACGTCTGCACAGGATGATTTCGTCTCGTATTGACAGCACCAACAGTTATGTAAGCGTATTACCCCCAGCACGTATTGACAGCACCAACAGTTATGTAAGCGTATTACCCCCAGCACGTATTGACAGCACCAACAGTTATGTAAGCGTATTACCCCCAGCACGTATTGACAGTGCCAACAGTTATGTAAGCGTATTACCCCCAGCACGTATTGACAGTGCCAACAGTTATGTAAGCGTATTACCCCCAGCACGTATTGACAGTGCCAACAGTTATGTAAGCGTATTACCCCCAGCACGTATTGACAGTGCCAACAGTTATGTAAGCGTATTACCCCCAGCACGTATTGACAGTGCCAACAGTTATGTAAGCGTATTACCCCCAGCACGTATTGACAGTGCCAACAGTTATGTAAGCGTATTACCCCCAGCACGTATTGACAGTGCCAACAGTTATGTAAGCGTATTACCCCCAGCACGTATTGACAGTGCCAACAGTTATGTAAGCGTATTACCCCCAGCACGTATTGACAGTGCCAACAGTTATGTAAGCGTATTACCCCCAGCACGTATTGACAGTGCCAACAGTTATGTAAGCGTATTACCCCCAGCACGTATTGACAGTGCCAACAGTTATGTAAGCGTATTACCCCCAGCACGTATTGACAGTGCCAACAGTTATGTAAGCGTATTACCCCCAGCACGTATTGACAGTGCCAACAGTTATGTAAGCGTATTACCCCCAGCACGTATTGACAGTGCCAACAGTTATGTAAGCGTATTACCCCCAGCACGTATTGACAGTGCCAACAGTTATGTAAGCGTATTACCCCCAGCACGTATTGACAGTGCCAACAGTTATGTAAGCGTATTACCCCCAGCACGTATTGACAGTACCAACAGTTATGTAAGCGTATTACCCCCAGCACGTATTGACAGCACCAACAGTTATGTAAGCGTATTACCCCCAGCACGTATTGACCGTACCATTGGAATAAGCTTTTTTGTCAAAAGTCACAAGAGTAAAATCTCTTTTTGAACATATTTGGACAACATGTGACCGAAGTCTGGAATCGGATTAATTTGGAAAGCATCTAATGGGTGAACCGTCCCCCCCCTCCCCAAATCTATCTGCATTCATTACTTGGCTAAACGAAACTAATATTTTTAAAAATCCCAAAACGTCTGGCCTGGTTGTGTTCGTTTTTTGGTTGTTTTTTTTTTTTTTGGTTTTCTAAAACTTGAATTGTATAAAATGATAAGGGGCTACCATTGTACAGTACAGATACTACTACACCCGAACTGCTGCATGTAGGATTCCACCAACTGTGGACACAGTCTCTTCTTAATGACCCGGCTCAGCCTTCTAATTGGCGGGTGTTTGACTGAGTGACGTACATCGGGTATTTAATGGGCCCGTGTTGCCCTTCGTGGCTCTTGCTTACTTTAAAAGTCTGAAGATGGAGGGGGGGGGGGGGGGGAGATATTAAAAAAAATAGTTTCCAATTATACCGGTAAAAGGGAGTGCTTTTATCAGGGATGCTACCTGGAATGCCGAGTATTCCGACGTGGCCATCAACCTGTTTACCGTTTTAATCTGAGCGTAATGGCCTGTACTCACACTCAGGCAGAGTGGCGTACTCACACTCAGGCAGAGCGGCGTAAACAAAATGCTAACCTCCATTTCTTGGCGACGATGGTTTGCAATGGACGAGGTTTCTCTCAGAACACACCAACCCGGAAACAAAACATAACAAAACAAAAATAGTCTGGCAATTCAACCGTTGATAAAACTGAAGATGTTTTCAAACTGAATATTTCTAAACCGAAGATGGCATTAACCTGAAGATGGCATTAAAATGAAGATGTCATTAAACATGAAGATGTCATTAAACTGAAGATGGCATTAAACTGAACATGTCTTTTAACTGAAGATGTCTTTTAACTGAAGATGCCTTTTAACTGAAGATGTCATTAAACTGAAGATGTCATTTAACTGAACATATCTTTTAACTGAAGATGTCATTAAACGGAGCGCGTCATTCACTGCATACCGCAAAGCCTAGTTAGATCCCACTACCGATAAATAAGATGACGGTCAACGTGTAGTGCGGCCACATCGTTCTCCAGAGAAGTGGTCGGCAACCCATTGGTACGATCGTCCTAACTTTGGATGTCCAACTCCATCATTGTGCCAAGCAGGTGCGTCTATCAAACACCTATATACTTCTACCAAAAATCTCTATTTCTAACAAACATATGTCTAGCAAACACCTATACGTCTACCCAACTCCTATAGGTCTACTAAACACATATAGGTCTACCAAACACATATAGGTCTACCAAACACCTATAGCTCTAACATACACCTATATGTCTACCAAACAGTATTTAGACTGTATCCGCTTGAAGTACTTTTGGCAGTTATTATGTATACTGTTATTTAGACTGTATCCGCTTGAAGTACTTGTGGCAGTTATTATGTATACTGTTATTTAGTTTGTATCCGCTTGAAGTACTTGTGGCAGTTATTATGTATACTGTTATTTAGACTGTATCCGCTTGAAGTTCTTGTGGCAGTTATTATGTATACTGTTATTTAGACTGTATCCGCTTGAAGTACTTGTGGCAGTTATTATGTATACTGTTATTTAGACTGTATCCGCTTGAAGTACTTGTGGCAGTTATTATGTATACTGTTATTTAGACTGTATCCGCTTGAAGTACTTGTGGCAGTTATTATGTATACTGTTATTTAGACTGTATCTGCTTGAAGTACTTGTGGCAGTTATTATGTATACTGTTATTTAGACTGTATCCGCTTGAAGTACTTGTGGCAATTATTATGTATACTGTTATTTAGACTGTATCCGCTTGAAGTACTTGTGGCAGTTATTATGTATACTGTTATTTAGACTGTATCCGCTTGAAGTACTTGTGGCAGTTATTATGTATACTGTTATTTAGACTGTATCCGCTTGAAGTACTTGTGGCAGTTATTATGTATACTGTTATTTAGACTGTATCCGCTTGAAGTACTTGTGGCAGTTATTATGTATACTGTTATTTAGACTGTATCCGCTTGAAGTACTTGTGGCAGTTATTATGTATACTGTTATTTAGACTGTATCTGCTTGAAGTACTTGTGGCAGTTATTATGTATACTGTTATTTAGACTGTATCCGCTTGAAGTACTTGTGGCAGTTATTATGTATACTGTTATTTAGACTGTATATGTGTCAATGTTTACAACGCCAGTCTTAGCGCCATTTATGTTATCTATGCATGCGTAATTATCTGTTCCATAGATATGAACCAAAACAGAAGTAATTCCTGATTACTGCCCTCTGTAGGGCATCATGCACAATGTGGCTGCTGATTATATAGGTTTGGTCTTTAATGTTTGATAGTCCCGGAAATCTGAATATTGGCACCTTATTCCCATTTTAACATCTGTCTACACTTCTCATTACATAGCAATGAAATATATTTTGCTCTGGTAAAAACGTATACATGATAAATGAAGTTACCTAAATCTGAACGCATAGATGTTTAATGTTTAATTAGATTTTTAAGTGATTTTTTTTTTATAGTTGTATCCGCACGCCTTTTCGTCAGGCCAGCCATTATAATGGGATATTTTTATAGTTAAACTTTGTAGGCCACTTCATCTAGCCACCAGCTTAACCCCATGTCATCCCCTTGTAGCCCCCTTTAAAGACCCAGTTTGTCCTGTCATCAAATTGGTGCGACACGAAAGCGGTAGTCGTTGGTTACGGTCCAATCTGAAATCCGTGTTGGCGCATGCACACAACAAGATTATAAGCTTACCATGTCTCGCCTTTAGTCACGCTGTACGTACAGGTACTTATGGGTGCAAGTTATAGATATGATCCTGTGTTTAATGAGATATTTAGTGCGTACATGTCAAATGGCATTAAGAACTCTTTTGTTCGTCTCTTCTTGTAAATGAAGCTGTTTCGACAATAACAAAATTTTTTTTTTTTTTTTTTAAATTTATCGCCTAATCCAATTTNCTTATGGGTGCAAGTTATAGATATGATCCTGTGTTTAATGAGATATTTAGTGCGTACATGTCAAATGGCATTAAGAACTCTTTTGTTCGTCTCTTCTTGTAAATGAAGTTGTTTCGACAATAACAAAATTTTTTTTTTTTTTTTTTTAAATTTATCGCCTAATCCAATTTCTCCCTTCTGTTCAGGCAATAGAATTTCTTTCGCTGCTTCTTTGTTTTCGTTTTTAATTATATAAAAAAAAAAGATTCTAAAGACCTCCACACTATCTGAAACAAATGGTAATGAAAGCTGTACAAGTAAGACTGTGACATGTGCAGTACAAGGTGTACTCAAGTGGTGTACATTTCTATGATGGCCGATGCCCTCATCTTGGGGCATAAATCTTATTCCGTGTGTTGTTAAAGTCTTATCTGACACTTGATATCTGCAGAGGTATATGTCTTGATCCATTGGTATAGAGATCTCAACCAGCGATATGTGTCGTGATCCATTGGTAAAGAGCTCTCATCCAGTGGCACGTGTCTTAATCCATTGGTATAGACCACTCATCCAATGGTACGTGTCTTAATGCATTGGTATAGACCTCTCATCTGGTGGTACGTGTCTTAATCCATTGGTATAGACCTCTCATCTGGTGGTACGTGTCTTATTCCATTTGTATAGACTTCTCATCTGGTGGTACGTGTCTTATTCCATTTGTATAGACTTCTCATCCAGGGGTACATGTGTAAATCCATTGGTATAGACCTCTCATCCGGTGGTACGTGTCTTAATCCATTGGTAAAGACCTCTCATCCAGTGGTAAGTCCCTTAATCCTGTGGTGTATCTCTTCATCCATTAAATTAAGCAGGTGCCACGTCCATTGTTATTTCCCCATACCCAGTGATACTTGCTCTTCTGCATTCATTGTAGAGAAGAGCGTTGCAGCTCACGCCCATCGGGCAATGGCTACTCTGAACGATGTTCTCAGAAGCCTACATCAACAGCTGTGGGCATTTATCCTCTGTACGAAACCCTCTTCCGCTCTGCCCCCCGTTTCCTGTGAAGTGTTCCTACGTAGTTCTGTGGATGCACCCGTTCTTTCAAAAAAAAGATCTCATTGACAATTTTCCCGTTAGCTTCCCGCAGGCGGGGAATGGCGTGCCAGAGTTTGCCACATGTACGCCGTCACATGGCAGGCCTGACTAATGAACGCTCCACTAACTCACACACAGGGCAGGCCTAACTAATGAGTGCCTCACTAACGCACACACATGGACACGTGTGGAGCTGGGATGAGCATGTCTGTGTGTAGGAGAGAGTAGAAACTTAGATTTGAGAAGGAGTGAGAGGGGGAAAAGGTGGGGGAGGGAAGGAACCGGAGAGGGGAGTGCTGGGTAAGGTGGGTTAGAAAGGATGAATGGGTCTTAGTTGTCGTCTGCACTAAGTTAATGTCTGGAATCTCGTGTAGGACTGGGAAGAGTATAGATATAGACATTCCTTTAGTCATGTCGGCAAGCACGCGGCCCTCTTGTTGATCTTATTGAAGAATTGGAAACCAACTTGTACTTCAAGTTGAGAGACTCTACTCAATGTTTGTATAACTATTCAGCTGTTTTCTACACGTGTCTCGGGTGGTCACAGATGTCCAAGTCAAGAACAACACAAGACACAAAATCTCTAAATAGCTATACTGTGTCAGCAGCAGCACTAGTTATACTGTGTCAGCAGCAGCACTAGCTATACTGTGTCAGCAGCAGCACTAGTTATACTGTGTCAGCAGCAGCACATAGCTATACTGTGTCAGCAGCAGCACTAGCTATACTGTGTCAGCAGCAGCACTAGTTATACTGTGTCAGCAGCAGCACTAGTTATACTGTGTCAGCAGCAGCACATAGCTATACTGTGTCAGCAGCACTAGCTATACTGTGTCAGCAGCAGCACTAGCTATACTGTGTCAGCAGCAGCACATAGCTATACTGTGTCAGCAGCAGCACATAGCTATACTGTGTCAGCAGCAGCACTAGCTATACTGTGTCAGCAGCAGCACTAGTTATACTGTGTCAGCAGCAGCACTAGCTATACTGTGTCAGCAGCAGCACTAGTTATACTGTGTCAGCAGCAGCACATAGCTATACTGTGTCAGCAGCAGCACTAGTTATACTGTGTCAGCAGCAGCACATAGCTATACTGTGTCAGCAGCAGCACTAGCTATACTGTGTCAGCAGCAGCACTAGCTATACTGTGTCAGCAGCAGCACTAGCTATACTGTGTCAGCAGCAGCACATAGCTATACTGTGTCAGCAGCAGCACTAGCTATACTGTGTCAGCAGCAGCACTAGTTATACTGTGTCAGCATCAACATTCAAATCTCCAGAGTTAGATTTAATCAAAATGAACCGAAATATTGAGATTCACTTTTTAAACCGTGTTCTGAACATTGACCGCCTCCATGTTTAGTTATCAGCAGTTCGTCTAGTTCGAGCATTACCTTGATTACCAAACGAATTAAACCTAACCGTAACATAGAGAGAGGTGCCTGCTATTTTTCCAAGTATGAAATAGTTTTGTTAAAATTCTTCTCTTGTCAAACATGAAACAGGAAGGGCATTTAGGGTCTTAACACAAAATGTGTAATTACCCCAAATTCATCACAGCCTCTTAAAGACGGCGGGGGGGGGGGAGGCTTAAAAAAGGGTGTTTACGCTCTCTCTCTCTCTCTGTCTCTCTCTCTCTGTCTCTCTCTCTCTGTCTCTCTCTCTCCCTCCCTTCCTCCCTCCCTTCCTCATGATAGTTGACTCAAAATATGGCACAATTATTTACAAGATCATGGTAAATGGTTTTACACAAAAGTGGCACAATTCCTACAAGTTCATGATTTTTTTTTTTTTTTTTTTTTTTTTTTTTTTTTTTTTTTTTTTTTTTTTTTTGACATTCAATATATGATGTCATATCACATTAATAGACTATTCAACAGGGTTTTTTTTCAGTGTAGGCAAAAGGTGCATTCGACGCCAGATCCCTCCATTAGTTACAGAACAACAGCGTTATAGAGTTTCATCCCCTTCACTGACTATCAAGTTATTAAATCTTTTGTTCTTTTTAAACTGTTACAGTACACAGTATCACTAATCTAACTCTGAAGAAACAAAAGAATGTGTAGAAACTATCATACATGTTCAGGTTACACAATAGCTTCTTGAACATGGAACATTTAGAAGTAAGAAGAGAGCAAGATTGAACGGATGCATGGTAGTGGCCCTGGGTTGGTGGTCATTACCCATCCATCATGAGTGCAAACATCGTGATGGGTTGTGCCTGCATTCACATTGAGCCCGTCTACTGGGCTAACACGAGATAACATGCCATTAAGTCGACGAGGCGGTTAAATAAGTGTGCGTGGCCTCCACGAAGGCGGGCTGGTGATTGAGTCGGATGCTGTCAGTTAATGAGCTCGGTGATGTTGATACCAATGCACGGTTCGGGTAGATGGTGTCAGTTAATAAGTTCAGTGGAGATGATCGCAATGCACTGTCGCGGTCTTGACTCTATGGACCAAGTTAAATCTGTATATTGTCATGTTGAAGTCAGTGCATGGCGAAATGTCAATAATTACCAGGTCTGTGTTACCAGAGTGGGAGCACTAGATCAGGATTGGGGCACCAGCCAGGATTGGGCCACTACGTTAGGATTGGGCCCCTGGGTTAGGATCGGGCCACTAGACCAGGATTAGGGCCGTAAGCCAGGTTTTGGCCACTTGGTTAGGATTAGGCCACTAGGTTAGGATTGGGCCTCTAGGTTAGGATTGAGCTACTTAAGACGAAAATCAAAATACTCTGATTATCATTATTTTTTTAAAATACGTATGTAGCAGTTGAACTCATTTGTCTGTCTATTCTTTATACGAAATGGGGAAACATAGTGTTTCTTCTTATCCTTGATGGGCAACGGTCCTTGTATTTATTAGAGTCCGTAAGTGTCCAATGAGCTGAACATTAATTTAGCTTCCCGCCATTGTCCTATGTGTCACCAATAGTTGAATGTACTCTGAAGTCGTTGCTTCTATTTCCAGGTTGCCATCAAGTACATCAAGAAAACCAAGATCCAAGATGAGAATGACCTGGTCAGGATACGGCGGGAGATCCAAATTCTGTCCAGTCTACGTCACAAGCACATCGTCAATATACGAGAAGGTGAGCGCGCGGGGTGGGGAGGGCTGTGGGGCCGGGGGCATAGGGTGGGGGAGGGGAAGGGCGGAAAAGGGCTTCGGGGATGGCATACCTTTTCAAGTAATACATATGAACTCAATCCTTGTAATTCTTAGTTCAGAGATGTCGCCGTCAGTACTTTATGAATGGTTCCTTTCTTGCTTTGACAAAATACTGGTTACCGGACATTTTTTTTTTTTGAAAGAAATTTCGTAGACGGTAAATTGATCGACAGAAATTTGATCTAACGGAAGTTTGGTCGAATCTTTTTTTCAGTTCACACGTTAAAATTTTGCGTCAAATTACGTTTTTCAACACATTATTTTGTTTCACTATATAGTGATAGTGCGTTCAAGAGGAAATTTGACGAAAATTTGAACGTGTGAACTGGAAAAAAAGATGAGACCAAAATTTCCGTTCGATCAAATTTCCGTCAATCAATTTTCCGTCGAAAAAATTTCTTTGAAACAAATTTCCGGATACCGGTATGCAAAATACTGATATTTAAATTTAATGTAAGCAGATCTCATCTCTATCGGCACATGCATCAACAAAATCTTTTGCTTTTCAAACGATGTAAGTATGGTGACACTTCCATCAGTCAATCTTATTCTCACCAATGATCCCTCTAAGGTTTCTTGGGTCGTGTACAAAATCATACAGTTGTGTGCAAAGTTTTACAGCATCATTTTTTTTTTTATTTTTTATTTTGTGGGCAACATTTTACAGCCCACAAACACAAACACACACTTACATGGAAATTTTCTGCGCGGATACTGAAAACTGCTGCGCGCGCAGCGTCTGTGCCGCGCAGCGTCTGTGCCGCGCAGCGTCTGTGCCGCGCAGCGTCTGTGCCGCGCAGCGTCTGTGCCGCGCAGCGTCTGTGCCGCGCAGCGTAAAGGGAGCGTTGATTCCCATTCTTACTACAGAACGCCAAGGTTTATTTGTGGGACCTCCTTCTCCTTACCACTTCATCCGCCACATGTTTTGTTGTGTGTTTTTTTTTTAACGGTTCTTTAAAAAAAAGAAAGAAAAAAAATTGGTATTCCAAGAGCATTTACTATTATCCAAAAAAAAAACCACCCTCGCCAGGGTTTATTTGTGGGACCTCCTTCTCCTTACCACTTCCTCCGCCACATGTTTTGTTGTGTGTTTTTTTTTTAACGGTTCTTTAAAAAAAAGAAAGAAAAAAAATTGGTATTCCAAGAGCATTTACTATTATCCAAAAAAAAAAACCACCCATACTGTTAATTTGACAGAGCCAATCCACAAACAACTCATGACCAGCTTATAGTAGTCTGTTCTAATCGTTTGAAAAACCTCAGTGCACTCGTGTGAACTCGTTTGTTCGATGAAATGTTGATGTCTAAACCCAAACAATTGCTAGTTCTTCCCAAGTAGTTTATCACAGCCACATGTGTTTCTGATGCGTTTCTAACAGTCTCCGGGTGCCATTGTTCTAGCTGTCGCCTGCAGCTTGTCCTCACTGATTAACTTTTCATTTATGGCTAAAAAGATATAAAGGGAGGGGGGTGGTGTTTAGCCCCACATTCCCACCAACATAATCAGATACGCACTCTCAAAAATGTGTGTTTTTAATTTTGATATGTTTTGTTCATAAACATAAAAGTTTCAGTTTATCGAGATCGAGAAGAAAGAAGTTTGATTGTTTCGTGCTTATCTGGTTATTTTTATACGATACAAAAGCTCAGCACTTAAGTTCCAGCCATGATTATCATCAGTAGCGTAGGAAGGGCGTGCAGAGGGGGCGGTCTCCCCCGTGCGGCACTTTTTCCCCTTATATTAAAAGTTGGCATTTGCTGCCGCCTGGAAGAAGGGTGGCAAGAAGCCTGACCCCCCCCCCCCGGGCGGCGCTTTATTAACTATCCAACAGCAGTTCGGGGGCCGACTACACACTCGAGGTCCAAATAAAAAAGAATCAAAACCTGAAAGTTTTTAATTATTTATGTCATATTATTTTATTCAGTTATTATTTAGTAACACACTGATACACTACACATGAACACCTTTATTAGTGGGAATAGTGAAATTGTTTCCTGGATGCCAAAATAGCAGACATTTAAGGCTTTAGATTTGATGCCCCTAACATCAACAGTGACCTGAAGTTTGTTCTCAAAGTGTTCCAATACTTTAAATACACTAACTAAGAAGTACGCGAAGGAAATTATCACTAAATAAAATAGCGTGCAACAAGTTTCGCATTCAGACGCTGACACCAACATCTCCTCATCGCAGCAGACAACCGCAACTGGAAAACTGTGATCAAAATCATCAAGTCTTGAACAAGCAGCAAACCATGTAAAAACTCCGCCACTGGATGGCGTTATATCCTCTCATGGCCTGTAAACTGCGTGCCTCTATTTCAATTCGGTTCAAACATAACGTCCACGTAAGCGGCGGCTAATCTTGGCACGTACATTTCAGTAATATTTTTCCATGGACAAAACGATCTCCACGGGCCGGATGAGAGGGCCTTGTGGGCCGCATCCGGCCCGCGGGCCGTAGTTTGGAGACCCCTGTGGTAGATGATCGAAAACCTCAATCACTCTCGGCCATCTGGCCGAAAGTCTCAATTAATCTCGTCCGAAACCAAAAAATTAAACTGAAAGTTAATCTTTCTGTTTCGGCCGAAACAGAAAGTAGGCCGAAAGTTAACTTTTCTGTTTCGGCAAAAGCCACGATTTTTTTAGCTTCTAACAAAAACTCTGAAGTTTTTGGGGACATTTAGTGTATAATTTTAAATCCAATTTCAGAAAGCGTTACTACTGCTTCATGTTCTACTTTCAGCCAAAGCGTACAAGGTTTCAGCTCAGTTAGAGATCAGGAAGTAGGTCGAAATTGAGATGCAATATTTGACCCGCAGAGGTCACCCAAGGGTCAATGGAGGTCACTAACCAAACGATCACGAAGGGCTGTATATGCCACCGAGGTTGAGCAATCACGCAAATGTCAAGTCCATTGGACTAAGGTGACAGGTCGGAATTTGAGTTACAAGATTTGACCCAAACGAACGTGCAAACAGACGAAATGGCAAGACAAATAAAAGTGTGTACAAAATATTACTACTGATTAGAAATTATTGCCGTCCATCTTTTATGGTAATTAAATGGAAGCTGATTAAATGCGTGATCAAAATATTCTCGATGATTCTAAGGTTCTTTACTAAAACCAACAACCGAAGTCAGTACTATGTTATAGTTACCGGAAGGTAGCAAAGTTGAAATAGCCAGCAAGATAGTATAGTTACGGGAAAGTAGCAAAGTTGAAGAATCCAGTAAGAAAGTATAGTTACCGGAATCTAGCAAAGGTGAAGTATCCAGTAAGATATAGTTACTGGAATATAGCGAAGTTGAAGTAGCCAGTAAGATATAGTTACCTGAATATGGCGAAGTTGAAGTAGCCAGTAAGATATAGTTACCTGAATATGGCGAAGTTAAAGTAGCAGACGGCACTTGCAGGCAGGGCAATGGTCCCCACAGAGATGAGAGCCGTGTAGCTGATGCTTGCCGTCCTCTCATAGCCACAGTAGTGGGTCTTCACGTCGTACTGGTAGCTCCCCCATCCCAGAAGGGGCGCCGCACCCACCGCTATGGACAGCACCCAGACCATGGCGCACAGAAAGAGGGTGAGGCGCCGTGTGACAAACCTTGGAGACAGAAGACAATGGCGCCTCATTGAATATGATTGCGTTTTAACCTGATTGTTGATTAGTGTGATTTTTGTTTGATGTGATGGTTGTATGATGTGATGTTTATTTGGTTATAATGTTATGAAGTGATGATTGTCCGACGTGATGGTTGTTTGACGTGATGGTTGTTTGACGTGATGGTTGTTTGACGTGATGATTGGTTGACTTGATGGTTGTTTGACGTGATGATTGGTTGACGTGATGGTTGTTTGACGTGATGATTGTTTGACGTAATGGTTGTTTGACGTGATGCTTGGTTGACGTGATGATTGGTTGACGTGATGATTGGTTGACGTGATGATTGATTGACGTGATGATTGATTGACGTGATGATTGGTTGACGTGATGATTGATTGACGTGATGATTGGTTGACGTGATGATTGGTTGATGTGATGATTGATTGACGTGATGATTGGTTGACGTGATGATTGGTTGACTTGATGATTGGTTGACGTGATTATTGATTGACGTGATGATTGGTTGACGTGATGATTGATTGACGTGATGATTGGTTGACGTGATGATTGGTTGACTTGATGGTTGTTTGACGTGATGATTGTCCGACGTGATGGTTGTTTGACGTGATGCTTGGTTGACGTGATGGTTGTTTGACGTGATGATTGGTTGACGTGATGGTTGTTTGACGTGATGATTGGTTGACGTGATGATTGGTTGAGTGATGATTGTCCGACGTGATGGTTGTTTGACGTGATGCTTGGTTGACGTGATGGTTGTTTGACGTGATGATTGGTTGACGTGATGGTTGTTTGACGTGATGATTGGTTGACGTGATGATTGGTTGATGTGATGATTGGTTGACGTGATGATTGGTTGATGTGATGATTGGTTGACGTGATGATTGGGTGACGTGATGATTGGTTGACGTAATGGTTGTTTGACGTGATGGTTGTTTGACGTGATGATTGGTTGACGTGATGGTTGTTTGACGTGATGATTGGTTGACGTGATGATTGGTTGACGTGATGATTGATTGATGTGATGATTGGTTGACGTGATGATTGGTTGACGTGATGATTGATTGACGTGATGATTGGTTGACGTGATGATTGGTTGACGTGATGATTGGTTGACGTGGTGATTGGTTGACGTGATGATTGGTTGACGTGATGATTGGTTGACGTGATGATTGGTTGACGTGATGATTGATTGACGTGATGATTAGTTGACGTGATGATTGGTTGACGTGATGATTGGTTGACGTGATGATTGTTTGACGTGATGATTGGTTGACGTGATGATTGGTTGACGTGATGA